CATGGGACACCCTGTATATACAGGGTGTCCCTGAGCATATGCTCACTCATTTGTAAAAAGGTAGAGCGCAGTAAATTAAATAAAGAAATCCTATTATATGTAACGATTTTTGTAATAACAATCGAAATATTAATTATTGAAATCGGAGGAATAAGAGAAGTGCTCGAGCGCTCGAGCTATAGCACGGCCCACCGTGTCAGACATTGCCTGCCGGCACGTGGCGGGAGGAGGGACAGCGCGCCGCTACCCGTGGTTACCGCTATCGCCATTTTCACGTTTCACTGCATCGCATCAAGACTCGCATCTCGCGTCTCATTTCTGACATTGTTTGCGATTATAATTAATTTATGTATGATAAGAGATATGTATAATACAATAAAAAGACGAAGCTGAATTAGATTTAGATGCTATAAATAAGATAGGAAAAGGAAAGAAATGTAAGGAATCTGAATCGTGAATTTATGATAAGTTTTTGATTAATGTATTATTTACAATTAATAGATAACAGCTTTTTCTATCGATTTCTTTTGCTTCTTTTGTCAGGGCTACAACAAATATTCGTATAAAAATATTCGAACATCATATCATATCAAAATAAACCGTCCATTAATATAAAAATGATACAAGAAGCATTTTCCGTAATATACTTTTCGATATATGACATAACAAATATAATTTGCAATCGTGTGAAAAAAGAATCGTGCTTCGTTCATATCATTTTTCAAATAAAATTATTTCGTAGCAAGGAAACATACTATCGTTTCCACACCACCTTGAGGTAGATAGCTTGGCGCGTTTTTTTTTTTAGTGGTTTCCCCAATAGGCCTAATCCACTCTCATCATTTAATGCAACAAATGCTCAAAGTGCTTTCCTCGTACTTGTAAGCAGAGTTCAGCTCTTCGAACTATTTGTTGCGTCGCTCGGTATGCCATATCTGGCGTGATATTAATTATTAAAGACCGCTATAATCGCTTCGCGTGCCTCATTTTCATTTCTATCACGCGTGTGTTCCACTAATGTTTTTATGTAGCCCCAAACAAAATAATTCAATACGTTTAAATTTGGGGACCGTGCCGGCCATATGATTGGGCCACCTCGACCTATCCATCTATCCGGAAAGCGCGCGTTTAAAATTTCCCGTACTTGTCGGCGATAATGTGCAGGAGCTCCATCGTGCTGAAACATCATTGTTTCTCGATCGCGGAATGGAACGTCTTCCAGCAGATTTGGCAATTCATTTTCAATAAATTCCGCATACGTTAGTCCATCGAGACGTGGCAGAAAAAAATATGGGCCGATCTAAAAATCGGCAATAACTATTATGAAAGTAGTGCGGGAGAAAAAAGATTTCTTAATATACAAGATTATTTACCACTCTGTTTGCCATTATTCCTGCCCATACATTTATCGACCAACGATATTGAAAAGTACACTGTCGAATAGCATGGGGATTCTCATTTTGCCAGAGCACAAAATTTCGAGAATTAAATATGCCATTCGATGTGAATGTAGCCTCATCCGTCCACAAAATACGATCGGGAAATGAAATATTTTGCCGACACTGAGCGAGGAACCCTGCGTGTATTTTATGATGATTATTGTATGAAAGCTGAGACTCGAAGAAAACTAAAATAATGAAAATACCTTCACAGAAATAAATACGCTGTTGTTCATCTCGCGCAAGAAGTTGCTGCACGCGTTGATAATGAAATGGATGTAATCCATTTTCTTTTAAAATCCGATGCACTGGATCGTGGTTCACCGAGTGTATTAGCTACATGGCGTATACTATTTCCCGGATTTTCTTCAAATGCATGCAGAACTTCTTCATCGACATTAATATGACGACGTACTGCTGCGTTAACACGGTGTTGCGGAAGAAGGTATCCGCTTTCTCTTCCTCGTTGCATACATCTCAGTATGATGAACCTGGATGGATGCCGCCGATTGGGAAATCGTTCCGCATATAAACGCGCCGCACCATAAGCATTTTCCCCGGCTACCCCGTAACAAACAATCATATCCATATACTCTTGAGCCGTATAATTCATTTTGCACCTTACTAATACGTAAAGAAAACGTACAAGACAATGAGTGCAACAAACGAGAAAACAATTGAAAATCGGAAATTCTGCGCGTGGTGTCCTCATAATAAAGTATCTCAATTAATCATCGCTCGATCTCGGTTGATAAACGTATGGGCAAACAGAGTGGTAAATAATCTTGTATATTAAGAAATCTTTTTTCTCCCGCACTACTTTCATAATAGTTATTGCCGATTTTTAGATCGGCCCATATTTTTTTCTGCCACGTCTCGATGGACTAACGTATGCGGAATTTATTGAAAATGAATTGCCAAATCTGCTGGAAGACGTTCCATTCCGCGATCGAGAAACAATGATGTTTCAGCACGATGGAGCTCCTGCACATTATCGCCGACAAGTACGGGAAATTTTAAACGCGCGCTTTCCGGATAGATGGATAGGTCGAGGTGGCCCAATCATATGGCCGGCACGGTCCCCAAATTTAAACGTATTGAATTATTTTGTTTGGGGCTACATAAAAACATTAGTGGAACACACGCGTGATAGAAATGAAAATGAGGCACGCGAAGCGATTATAGCGGTCTTTAATAATTAATATCACGCCAGATATGGCATACCGAGCGACGCAACGAATAGTTCGAAGAGCTGAACTCTGCTTACAAGTACGAGGAAAGCACTTTGAGCATTTGTTGCATTAAATGATGAGAGTGGATTAGGCCTATTGGGGAAACCACTAAAAAAAAAAACGCGCCAAGCTATCTACCTCAAGGTGGTGTGGAAACGATAGTATGTTTCCTTGCTACGAAATAATTTTATTTGAAAAATGATATGAACGAAGCACGATTCTTTTTTCACACGATTGCAAATTATATTTGTTATGTCATATATCGAAAAGTATATTACGGAAAATGCTTCTTGTATCATTTTTATATTAATGGACGGTTTATTTTGATATGATATGATGTTCGAATATTTTTATACGAATATTTGTTGTAGCCCTGACAAAAGAAGCAAAAGAAATCGATAGAAAAAGCTGTTATCTATTAATTGTAAATAATACATTAATCAAAAACTTATCATAAATTCACGATTCAGATTCCTTACATTTCTTTCCTTTTCCTATCTTATTTATAGCATCTAAATCTAATTCAGCTTCGTCTTTTTATTGTATTATACATATCTCTTATCATACATAAATTAATTATAATCGCAAACAATGTCAGAAATGAGACGCGAGATGCGAGTCTTGATGCGATGCAGTGAAACGTGAAAATGGCGATAGCGGTAACCACGGGTAGCGGCGCGCTGTCCCTCCTCCCGCCACGTGCCGGCAGGCAATGTCTGACACGGTGGGCCGTGCTATAGCTCGAGCGCTCGAGCACTTCTCTTATTCCTCCGATTTCAATAATTAATATTTCGATTGTTATTACAAAAATCGTTACATATAATAGGATTTCTTTATTTAATTTACTGCGCTCTACCTTTTTACAAATGAGTGAGCATATGCTCAGGGACATCCTGTATATATATACATATATATATATATATATATATATATATATAATAAATATATATATATATATATATATATATAATAAAATTAATATATATATAATAAAATATATATATAAATTAAAATATATATATAATATAATATATATAAATTAAAATATATATATAATAAAATATATATATAATATAATATATATAAATTAAAATATAATATAATATAATATATATAAATTAAAATATAATATAATATAATATAATAAAAAATTAAAATATGATATAATATAATATATATAAATTAAAATATATATATAATAAAATATATATATAATATAATATATATAAATTAAAATATATATATAATAAAATTAAATAATAATATAATTTATCTATTTCATATAAATTTTATACAAAAATTTTACTATATATATATATAGTAAATTTTTGTATAAAATTTTATATGAAATAGATAAATTATATTATTATTTAATTTTATTGGACCAAATGTTTTATATATTATAAAGGATACATAATGCCATATATATATATATAGACATATATATATACATATATATATCTATATATATATATATATATATATATATATGTATATATATGGGGCATTCTTTCTCAACTTTACACCCATGCTGCCCATTTTCTATTTGATCTAAAAATTTTTGAAAAAATCTTAAAATTTACAGAAAAATGTAAGCTTTCCAATGGCGCGTGGCAAAATTATCAAATTTAATTGGATCATACTTAAAATTTCAGAAAACCGAAAAAAAATAAAAACGGTAATTATTCAAGTGTAGCCATTATTCATTCGACGTTTTTCTCTTCCAATTAACACTTTAGAGTACTCTGTTTATCTGTGCACTGTCACATGAGTCTAAACTAAAATGGCGGATCCAATATGGCCACCAAAAATTTAAAAAATTTAAGAAATTAACGGATTTTTATAAAACTTGGTATCAAGAGGTTTTTCGAGTTACTGTATACGAGTCTAAAGTTATCTTTCGAAAATACAAAATGGCGGATCCAATATGGCCACCAAAACATTTTGAAAATTTTTAGAAATTAACGAATTTTTATAATACTTGGTATCAGGGACTTTTTCGGGTTGCTAATAACGAATCTGAAGTCGCATTTCGAAAATTCAAAATGGCGGATCTAATATGGCAACTAAGAATTTGAAAATTTTAAAAAAGTAAGGGAGTTTTATAAAATTTGAACAGAGAGTTTTACGACCAGCTAAATACAAATCTTAAGTCGGATTTCGAAAACTGAAAATGTCAGATCTAATATGAACACCAAAAATATTGAAAATTTAGGAAATTGACAGATTTTTATAAAACTTGATACTAGAGATACCTCTGATTCTGATGTCGCCTGAGCTCTTACCCCCTACTTTTTGAAATCTTGATATGAAAAAGTCGAACTATTACCAGCATTGGAATATCTCTTAATCACCATTTCTTTGTTGATTGGGACGAAACAGTGATTTCTCAGAATCTCTGGAACTGGTGGAGCTACATCAAATCGTTTTTTCAAAAATCTTTTTGTCTTTTGGTGCTCTTTGTCATTATATGACAGTATACTAATACTTTTAGAATTTTTTTGAGCCCAGTCAACAAGTTTCTCGAATGAAAGAATGGCATTGTTCGGTTTACTAAGGAGGCTAGCTCGCATAGCTTCCCTTTTGAACACAGCACCTACACTGTCTGAAGCACCTTTACCATGTGCAGTGGCATGATAGTTCCATTCCGCTGCAACACCAAAATCCTCTTCGTGATGCATTAGATTCATCATCTGATATTTATTTTTAAAATGCTGTTTTGCCCCATCGCTAAAGTAGATTACTCTTCTTAGCTCAGGAATGATTATTTTCAATTCAGGAATCAGCATCTTTTGTACAGTATATACAGCAGCTGTGTCATGAAGTGTACTATCCGACAAAAAAATAAAACTTTTGTGTTCTAACTCTTTTTGATAGTAACACACGACAGGAAAGACAGTACATTGTGAATTATTAAAATGGAACGCCTGCGATGCATCTTGCACAACATACTTGTAATTCTCAGAAAAATCTAATACTGCAAGAACTTCACCTCTTTTTAAATTCTCTTTTCTTTCCTGATAGAATCGAGATTGTTCTTTTGCAATGAAAGAATGAGGTTTTAGAATGATCAATTTGTCACAAAATTCATCAACAAATTCCGACGACGGAAGAATTTGCGTCTGAAGAGTTGATCTGTCAGTTGTTGTCCAGACACTGAACTGTATGTGGTGAATACCTTTCTCATCTAAGAGTTCTTTCAAATGTTTTTTTAGTTCAATAATACCAGGACATTTACTGCATTCACCAATATAACGCATTCACCAATATATCACAATTTTCATCAGGATTTTTGCACACGATTTGGCGTAAGCAATCTTTATAATCATGTAAAATCACATTGGAATCTTTAGTAAGATTATTTAAATTGACAGAGTTAATCATCAATTTGCAATTTTGATGTATCGTACAGACACAGACCGAATGCGTACCATTCGCACCAGCAAGTATACAATGTTTTGGTTGGAGTTGGGCAAATTTACTAAAACTAACTGGACAGTCAGGATGGCATTTACTATAAATATCATAAAGACCTCTTAAGTCTGAAAGGAGAAGATATTTCTGAATCAAATCTCTGCCCTCGTCATTTTTTACTGAAACCATATCTTTCATACCTGGCATGATTCTGCTATTTTCGTCACTATTGTAAAAATCTTTAATTCGTGTAACAGTACTTTCCGGCAATGGTTTACCATTCTTAGCAGTTGTTTCTGCTAAAACGCCCTTAGATGCTTTCAATTCTCTAGCTTTTTTTGCAAAATACCTAGAACAGTTAAATTCCCGAGAAATTTGACTTAGACTCCATGCATCTGGTACTACAGTCAAAATCGTCAATCTCAAAGGATCATTAATTTCAAGAGTGGAAAATTTTTCTTTCAATCCACTCAACATATCTTCCAACTCAATCTCTCTTTGTGATTTTATGTTGTATTCAATTCCACTGAAAGATAATGAAGATGCACCGGAAGATACAGAAATATTCTGTTCAGTATCATGAGTACAATTATCAAACGTTTTATCAAGACTCGATGAGACGTGCGTATCTTCATTCATGCGAGGATATTTCATTTTCCTACATGCTGCACAAATTTTAGCATTATCTGGAAACTTTGGGAATAATCGTTTGATAACACTCGAAATGCGTCGAAGATCTTTCCCTCTGTGACCTTCCACATTGTAGGGATTGCAACATCTATCAACGTGTATACTGGACATATTCAGAATCAAATTCTAAGATTCACGATCAAAAATAGTACAGATAATAGAATTTTCTATAGTATTGTTCTGAGAGCAGTCCTAAAAGAACGGTTAAAAGTAGCTCTGAAAAGAACTGTTCGAAGAAAACCTCAGAGAAACGCTCAAAGCACAAAAAAGCCCAGAACCATGGGAGTCGGATATACAAATCCAAATATTAAAGCGTTTAGAAATTTACGGAATCACAATGATACGTTTTTTAACGTTAAAATGTTGTAATGAATGGCGATAATATCGCGGTAGAGAAACTCTCTCGAATATGTACAAAATGGATTTCACAATCTTATTTTATGAAAATTTTTTGACTAGGCTCAGAAAAAAAATAATGATCCAATTGAATTTGATAATTTTGCCACGCGCCCATGGAGGACTTGAATTTTGTTATAAATTTTAATAGTTTTTCGATAATCTTTTGACCAAATAGGTCGATAAATACGAATTTAATGATGAAATTTTAAAATCTGCGTCCCAAATATACTCCTGATACCAAGTTTTATAAAAATCCGTTAACTTCTTAAATTTTTCAATATTTTTGGTGGTCGTATTAGATCCGCCATTTTGAATTTTCAAAATCCGATTTGAGATTTGTATTCAGCATACAGAAAAACTCTTTGGTATTAAGTTTTATAAAAATCCGTTAATTTCTTAAAATTTTAAATTTTTGGCGGCTATATTGGATCCTCCATTTTAGTTTAGACTCATGTGACAGTGCACAGATAAACAGAGTACTCTAAAGTGTTAATTGGAAGAGAAAAACGTCGAATGAATAATGGCTACACTTGAATAATTACCGTTTTTATTATTTTTTTTCAGTTTTCTGAAATTTTAAGTATGATCCAATTGAATTTGATAATTTTGCCACGCGCCATTGGAAAGCTTACATTTTTCTGTAAATTTTAAGATTTTTTCAAAAATTTTTAGATCAAATAGAAAATGGGCAGCATGGGTATAAAGTTGAGAAAGAATGCCCCATATATATATTGGAATATGAATATGATTATATTTCTTAATATTTTTACATATTTGTATATCAATTTAATTGATAAATGAGAAATAAATAATTTCTTAATTTATAATATTTAAAATTTTTAATCAAAAAAAAATAAAAAAAAAAAAAAAATAAAAAAAAATATGGAATTGTTAATTGCAAATTACATATTTTTTCTTAGAAACAACTATGTGTTTTCTTTATACCAATTGATTCCTCTCATTATTTTGTACATAAAAGTATGAAGGTAAGATAATCGAAAAATGAATGGTTTACTAGATATTTTATGGTTTATGTAAAATTAAGAAATTATTTCAAGCCTTATAACTCAAAAAGTACTTAATAAAAAGGTACTTAATTATAGTGTTTTGGAAAGCTCTCGAGATAAGCTACAAGAATATGCAATGAAAAATAGGGGGTTCCATTTAAGAAATTGAAGGTAATCTTTATGTGACCTTCAAATGACTATCCAAGGTCAAATCTAAGGTCACCGTCCGATTGCCCGGGAAAAATCCTACAACTTTTGTCTAAAACTTTTTTCAAAATAATCGACTCCAATCGAGATATTATCTTGTCTCAAGATAAATGCCCCACCCTGTATATATATATATATATATATATATATATATATATATTGGTCCAATAAAATTAAATAATAATATAATTTATCTATTTCATATAAAATTTTATATAAAAATTTTATACAAAAATTTTACTTATATTTATAATTATTTATTGCACTTTACATTTTAAATAGATAGTGAACGAATTATTTTCGTTTATTCGCCAAACATTTACTTGTCCGATTTATAAAATTAATTTAATATCTGAAGTACTGACATCAAAAATTACATTGAACAGTATATCTTTAATCCTATTTATTATCCTTTACGAATGTTATATAATTCTGGTAACTGAAACTTAAATAACGAGAAAGATAACGCATCGCACGTCACGTAGCGATAAACGAACAAACTAACACATCCTTGCATGCTCACGCGAAACTTTGACGTCCACGACTGGACATCTTATGAACGTCCAAATATTGGTCATTAATGTAATTTCTCGAATCAGACGTACATTTCATATCCATGGACATGCGGAACGTGGACACAAAATGAATGTCCATAGGATGTCCTGTGCTATCTAGGATTAAAGTTGCTTTCATTCATTACAAAAAGTAATGCTCAGACGCAATTTTGCCACAAGAAAAAATTGTTTGTTTTGATATGAATAATCACGCTGTGAATTTTACATTTGCGAATTCTGATAAACCCTGTATATATTTTCGGTTTAAAATGTTGCTGCAACATTGCTAAAATAATATTGTAAAATAATATCTTTGCTACATTACACTGCAATGTGCAATGTTGCAATGTTGTAGCAATGTTGCTGCAAGCTTCTGTATAAATTAAGATCTTGATAATATATATCAAAGTCAAGATCATTAAAGATTATTTCTTATTTGTCAATATTTGCTTTAAGTGACAATAAATAAATTATTTAATTTTATTACAGACTTGTGGATTACAAAGATGTAAATAAGATATATATGACCATCAGTGTGAGTGGAGTGTCGCAATATACCCCAGATGATATAACATTTACTCCTATTGAATTATGGGAAAAGGAATATATATATTATTTACAATTGATGAAGGTATTATATATACAATATTTATTATTTTATGTAAATTACACATCATATAATATTAAATTATATTAAATTAATGATAAAAAATTGATAATAAATTATATTATATTAAATAATATTAAATTAATGATAAAAGTACATAAAAAGTTACACAGCATCGATTTTATCGCTTGGATATATTAGAGGAGATTGTCCTGACTAATTCTCCGCAAAAAATAAACAAAGGACAGCATTACTTTAGAAGATATAATATAATGTTTTTAGACATTATAGGCTGTTCTAGGCATTCAAAACATTGTATATAATATAAGCTTTGTTTACATTCTACTGATCTATTTGAAATCTTCTATAATACATGCGTGAATGTAGTGGGTTTTGCTCGCTCTACGGAGGCTCTACTTGTGGAAAATATAACCCAACCTTTTCTGATTTAAAACTAAAAGGACCTCGCAAATTTTTTATGGAAAATGGCTCTCAGTCGATTTGCCTCAGATTAAAGTATGTTGCTGTTCATGACCTACTGACGAAATGTTCTCATGGGTGCATCGTGCAACTCGAAATAATGGGCCAGTTTCGAGCTAGAGAGCGCTGAAATCGTCAACATACGTAATACGTTAAGGATTTGTGGAAATGATATTGTAAACGTGTGAGTGCGTGTGTATGTGTGTCTGTGCGTATTTATGTACCAGGAATACCTCCACACAGCATTTTGAATTCCTATTATGGGAGCGAAGTTTGCGTTGTATAGTTAGAAGTGTCTCTTGATTACTATTACTATATTTATTTTTATTATATTTTATTACCATTAAACAATATTATTTCTTAATAATATAAAATAAATACCATCAAACTGACAGAGTTATATTAATAACTGCTAACTTCAATTAACAAGAATAATCCTAATAATATATCCTATACCAATGGTGAGAGGCAAGGGGACTTACCTTATAAACAAGCACCCCAAAGGGATTATATTCTCAAAACATCCTCATCGTTGATCCTGATTAATTCTAATATTGAGAAAATAGATGGATAACTTATATGTCATTAGAGTGAAATAATGTTCCCAGTTGAACGAAATGTCTGCTTGTAACAAGAATGAGGGTGGAACTTTGACCTTTCGGCATTTGAGAGCAGGACTAATCTAAATGTGCGCACACATAAACACATACAGCATAGACACATACACACGCACTCACGCGTTTACAATATCATTTAAATGTATCATTTAAATTTTCACAAATCTTTAACGTATTACGTATGTTAACGACTTCAGTAGTCGCTCTCTAGCTCGAAAATGGCCCATATTTCGAGTTGCGCCCATGAGAACATTTCACCAGTAGATCACGAACAGCAACATACTTTAATTTCAGGAAAATCGACTGAGAGCCATTTTGCATAAGAAATTTACGGGATCCTTTGATTTAAATCAGAAATAGGTTTGGATTAGGTTATATCTTCCGAAAGTGGAGCTCTCGCAGAGGAGAGATCCATTACTATTTTGATACGAGATTATCTTATGCTGGTATTACGTCCGATGGACGTCGTGATTCTTTTTTTTTTCGAAACTATACAAAAACTATACGATAACCATGTGCGCGGACAATTCTCGACAATATCTAAAGCAAGGAAATGAAAAATAATAAATAAGCCTAGACTACGCGGATAGCTTGTCGTAATACATAAAATTCTACTAGAATAAAGAACTGTAATAAAATCAAACTCGCATATGTTTACAATTGGGACGTCTCTTAGAACCATCGGAACTCTAGAAATAAAGCGATCCTTCTTAAGAATCGCGCCGACGATAAACATATGTATATTTAATCCTTGTAGCGGATATCTGAGACCAAGAGACTTTAAGCAATAAATAGACCGGAAAGACTAGAGCTAAGGATGGCCAGTCATTGGAATTTAGAAATTCTAAATAAAATCGGAACCAGAGCTGCAATAAAATTTTTATAGCACTCCACACGTGGAGCTATAAAATCAGAAACTCTTCAGGCCTGCAATATCTTAAGCGGGCAATAAAAAAAAGAGAAAACTAAACAATCCGCCTGGCCATCCTTAAGTGTTAGCCGAAACGCGAAAAGACTTTCGCGAGCCATGAAATCTGTCCATTAAGCTCCCACTCTCTGCTAGATGGAGCCAAATCTTGAACCAAAGGGCCAGCCTATTAAAATCTTAGAACCGCCTTTCCTTCCAAAATCAGCCTCCTTGTCCTTAAGAAAGGGGTAACTGAAATTATCTCATTCGCCCAAAAGAGTTCCACTATCCAGAAAAGAGAAAGAGCAATGACTTTAAAAAGTCGAGCGCAAG